CAGGCCAGGCCACTCCGGCGGACCGGGTCCCCGCGCGCCCAGGCGAGGTGAGGTCCGCACCGTCAAGGCTGCGCGTCGCCCCGCGTCCCCGCCCCGCCAGTGAAGACTGTCCCCTTCCCCCGGCGCCCGCCCCCTGTCCCCGCGCCCCAGGTGAGCCTTGGGGTCTTAGGTAAGGCTCCGCGATGCAGGTAAGACCTCCTCGGTGTAGATGAGGCCTCAGCGCCCCCAGGTAAGAGCCCCTCCCCTCCTAGGGGACCCTCCACCTCCAGCGAGGCCTCCTGCCTCCTCCAGGTGGGGGATCCTCTCCCCAGGTGAACTCCCTGTACCGCAGATGAAGCCCCATCCGCAGTCCAAATGAGCTCCTAATGACCAGCCAATTCCTAACCCCCCATGCTCCACCGAAACTGGGAACTGACAGCCTCTCCACTCTAAAGCCCCTTCCTCCAGCTCCAACTGCCAGGTCAGCAGGGCTGAGGCCGGAAGCAGGTGGCTGACTCACTTTGGGCTCCTCCTAGCCTCAGTTTCCCTGTAGATGCAACCTGAGGCCTCCTCACTGAGTCAAAACTGAGACGACTCTGGTCCCTGGAGAGGCTGCTGGCTCTGAGGAAAGGAGAGAGCAGCCAAATGTGACAGAGTCCCCCTGGCTCTGGGCATTGCCTGCATGTGTGTGACCTGGGTTCTGACAGCCCATCTGCTCCTTCCCCGGCAGGCACTGGGCTCCCTCTGCTCCCCGTGGGCCGCTCCCCGCGTGGGGCCACTGCCCCTGGTCCCCGCCATGGTGCGGATTTCAAAGCCCAAGACATTTCAGGCCTACTTGGATGATTGTCACCGGAGGTATAGCTGTGCCCACTGCCGCGCTCACCTGGCCAACCACGACGACCTCATATCCAAGGTAACCAGACCACGGTGGGGCTGGAATGGGAGGCTAGAGGGGCTGCCTGGCAGCTCTGCAGTAGTAGCCCTGACCCTCTCCTTTCCGCTTCCCACCCTTTAGTCCTTCCAGGGCAGTCAGGGGCGTGCCTACCTCTTCAACTCTGTGTGAGTATTCGGCCTCCCTCCTTTCTTTCCCTAACCTCTGTTGGGACCTGGGACCCCTGGCATTATGCTGAGACTGTCAGAGTCCCCTGGTTCAGACAGGAAGCTGTGGTCACCCTTCTCTTTAATGCTAAGGACAGACATAGTGGACACAAGATTGAGGGGGGCTCTGTGATGGCAGACCCCTCCCTGAGACTGCCCCATGTCCCCACAGGGTGAATGTGGGCTGCGGGCCAGCCGAGGAGCGGGTGCTGCTGACAGGCCTCCATGCTGTCGCTGACATCCACTGCGAGAATTGCAAGACCACTTTGGGCTGGAAATATGTGAGTCAGTGACCTCTGACCCCAAGCTAGCATTCAACCTGACCTTAGATCACCTCCTTCTCACAGGCAGTCATCTGGTGACTTTTCAGAGTGCATAGGCCCAGCTCACCCAAGTCAAACTGTCTTTTCATCCCCTGACCATGTTCTCTTCTCATGCATCCTGCAGGGCCTTTATTTTTATTTTTATTTTTTTAAAAAAGATGACCGGTAAGGGGATCTTAACCCTTGACTTGGTGTGGTCAGCACCACGCTCAGCCAGTGAGCCAACCGGCCATCCGTATATAGGATCCGAACCCGTGGCCTTGGTGTTATCAGCACCTCATTCTCCCGAGTGAGCCATGGCCGGCCCTCCTGCAGGGCCTTTAGAATTTTTCTCTTAACCCATCCCTTTCCTCACAGGTACTTGCATCCCCATTTTAAAGATGAGGATATAATCAGAGTTACCATTTACTGAATGCTTATGTGCAATGCACATAATGTGCTCAGCACATATTATCTCATTCAATTATACACCAATTCTGTAGGTAAAATTTATTATTATTTGCACTTTACAGAAGACAGGGAGGCCCAGAGATGTTAGGTAACTTGCCAAAGATCACACAACTGGTAAGTAACAGAATAGGGACCAGAATATTAGTTGGGTTTGTTTGTTTGTTTGTTTGTTTGTTTGTTTGTTTGTTTGTTTGTTTTTACTCCAAACCCTCGGTACTCCAAACCCTCGGCTACCACCTTATACTGTCATTCGGAGGATCAGAGAAGTTGCCCAAGACCCCACAGCAACATGGAGCTTGGGTCCGTGGGCCTCCTTTCCCATTGCCCTCATTGCCACTGCTGCTGAGTCTCATTTCCTTATCTGGCAGTGGAGGATAAAGCCACCACTTAGCACCCACGATTGTTACAGGGATCAGATTAGATGTAGCAAAGGAAATGGTCTTGGGAAATTGTGAGGGACGGGATTCCTCAGGCATCACTTGGAGCTATGGTGCCTCTGGGAGGTGGATGCCCTAGGCAGAGACAAACAACCCTGAATTGAGTTCACCCCTGGCCCTGCCACAGATTTGCTGTGTGTCTGTGGACAGGTGACTTGGTCTTTCTGGACCTCTGTAAAATAAAGAGATGGCCTAGTCCAGAGGTCAAAAATTCAAGTGTCTGCAAGGCCAGATAGATACCTTGGATTTGTAAACTGGGCAGCATAGATTGGGGGTGGGAGTTGGGGTGGGGAGCAGGCTAGGGCAAACTGGAGTGAGCATGGCCTGCCTATATTTTAGTATCTTAAACTTATTTTTATTAAACTCTCTGCTGTTTCTTTTCTTTTTTTTTTTTAAAGATGACCGGTAAGGGGATCTTAACCCTTGACTTGGTGTTGTCATCACCACGCTCACCCAGTGAGCAAACCAGCCATCCCTATATGGGACCCGAACCCGGGGCCTTGGTGTTATCAGCACCGCACTCTCCCAAGTGAGCCACAGGCTGGCCCCAACTCTCTGCTGTTTCAACAAAACATATGTGTAGGCCAAAATGGCCCTCAGGCCACCAGTTTGCAACCCCTGGATTATGAAATCTTCTAAAAAGTTTCATATCCTCTCTGATGGAGCCGTCATTAGTACTTAAAAAGTACCCATGATTCAGAGAGATCTATTTACCTCTGTTAGTGAGAAACAGCCCTGCTCTTTACCAGCTCTGTGTTTGTGGGCAGGTGGCTTGGCTTCTCAGGGCCACAATTTCCTCATATGTAAAAGGGAGCCAATCATATCCATTTTCCAGCCCCTATGCCTCTTGCTCCAGCGTTGACGTCCCCTCTCCTTTCAGGAACAGGCCTTTGAGAGCAGCCAGAAGTACAAAGAGGGGAAGTACATCATTGAACTCAACCACATGATCAAAGACAATGGCTGGGACTGACCACTGTTCCTGACGCATGTGGCTGCAGCCTGGCCTGGCCGCCAGGGGGCGCCACTGGCCTTCCTCCACCTGAAGGGGGCTCTGGACCCTCAGGGCCCCTGCAGAGGAAGGATACAGCTCTCCTGTACATATATTTTATTGCATGCACTGTGACCTTGGGGGGAGAGCAGAAGACGACACCCCCGCACCTCCCTGTGATCTGGCTGGCTTGGATCTCGTTTTTAACCCTTTCCTGTCCCGCCTGCGCTATAGATATGGCCTGTGTGCTGCTCTCTTGGCCCCAGTGCACCGTCAGCCCTGTGAACTTCTCCCCTCCTACCCCACGTGTGTCTGGTCCCTCGTTCTGTAGCAATTGTATATAATAAAATAATGGAGTGGAGACAGCACTAGGCTCACGTGGAATCCGGTTAGGGAGAACTCAGATGTAGCCCCTAGAGACCTGTTCGTTCTGAGCCCTAGCAGGATGGGGTAGGCACGGCCGTCCGAGCTGGGTCTCTAGGAACCAGGACTGGTCTCTCTGCTGGTGGAGGTTCTCGAGCCCACTCTGGCTCCTTGGGCCTTGACCTCGGCTGATCTGGGTGTTCTCGGTTTCAGCATTCGGTGGCTGTCTGGGGCAGCTCCCCTGGGAGGCAGCCTCGCCTCCGGCTTCGCCGCCCGTCTCTTCCGACTACAACTTCCAGCGGCCCCAGCGTGGTCCGTCCGTCTCCTCCGGGCGCGCCTCGGCGCTGGGCCTGCTGGGAAGTGTAGTTCCGAGGGTTCCCCAGCGCGGGACCTTCTGGGAAACCCTGGCGCAAGACTTCAGACTGTCGAGCTGCGCGCGCCCCAAAACTTTGAGACCTGGTCGCGGGTGGAGGCTTTTCAGATGGGAACCAGGGAGGACTCCAGGGTTCGGGTCTCGGCTGCGGACTCCTCGAGGTCCCCAGTACCCCGCGTAATCAGCTCAGGCCGCGTCCCTCCAGCCCTACACTTTCCCTCCAGTTATGCTGCCTCCCTCCGAGGCCTCCCCTCCAACTGAAGGGGAAAAGGGGGGTCACCTGCCAGAGGGTCTGGGGCGCCAGGACCTGTCCCTGGACTTCAGGCTCCGTCCCAGGGTCCAGGCCCCGCCCCCCATAGCTTATCCCTAGCCGGGGCTCCCCCCGTGGGAACGGGGACCAGCTGGCCGGAAGCGCCAAACTGCGTGCCTGTCCGAGCCCCGGGGATCAATCAGGCCGAGGAGTTAATTATGTAATGAGGGGGCAGGGGGTCGGGGCTAATGAAGCCGCCCGGGGGGGAGGGCGGCGGGAGAAGGGGAGGGTACCCAGGTATCCGGTCCTCTCTTGGACCCCTTCGAGGCCCCAGGGGTCTCCACCCCAGCCCAACTCCAGGGCCCCAAAGAGGGGAGGGGCTGTGATCCTGGGTATGGAAGGGGCTGAGCTGTGAGCTATAAAGGGGACATCTCTCAGCACCGGGGGACTCTAGGCAGCGGGACCTGAGGCCAGACAGGACAACAACATGTACCATCCACGAGAGTTGTACCCCTCCCTGGGGCCTGGCTACCGCCTGGGGCCCCCCCAGCCCAGGGCAGACACCAGCTTCGCGCCCGCCCTGGCAGAGGGCTACCGCTATCCCGGTGAGCAATGGGACCAGCTCCTGGGTAGGAATTTGGGGGGCTGTGGCCCTTAATGGTTCCTCATTCTTTCCCCATCTCCAGATCTGGATACCTCTAAACTGGATTGCTTCCTTTCCGGGATTGAGGCTGCTCCCCGCACCCTGACTGCGCCCCCACCTCTGCCCCTTCTGCCCTCGTCCCTGGGCACTGAGCCAGCCCCACCACCTCCAGAGGCCCTTCATTCGCTCCCTGGGGTCAGCCTGAGCCTGGAGAACCGGGAGTTGTGGAAGGAGTTCAGCTCTGTGGGAACAGAGATGATCATCACCAAAGCCGGGAGGTGAGGGGTGTATTTCTGGTGGAAGTCTCTGGAGAAGGGCAGAGTTTCTGGGGGTGGAGCTAGGTTTGGGAGTTTCTCCGAGACTAGAGTTCTGCCTAAATTCAGAATCTGACTATGGCCTGGGGCAGGGGTTACTCTGTGGCTGAAATCAGGAGTCATTCTGTGATGGGGGTCAAGGATCAGTCTGTGGAGTCTGTGGCAGCATTTAGGGGCCAATGTATGGCAAGGGTCATTGGTCAGTCTGGCCAGGGTCAGGAAGTCTGGCTGGATTATGGACTACCATGTGGCCCAGATCAGGGTTCAGTCTGTGGCTGGAATCAGGGTTCAGACTATAACTGGGGTCAAGGGCAGCCAGTGACTACCATCAGGGAAATCTGGCCAGGATCAGGGGTCAGTATGTGACTTGAATAGGAGTCAGTATACAACTATGTCTGGGTCACCCTAGAGGCAAAGATGTGGTCAGTGTATGGCCTATGTCAAGGTCTTTATCTAGGGCAGGAGCTCAAGACCTAGCCTGGTGAGCCCTCTGTCCCACTGAAGGAAGAGCATAATTTTTCTAAAGCAAATTTGTTTTACAGCTGCAGATTCTGGTGCTGGAGATCAGGTGGGGAGCAGGACGCTCCTGGCAAGATTTCAGGGAGAGAAGCTGTCAACACTGCTTCTGCAAGTGGAGTTTGAGGGACTTGAGTCCGGAGCCCTAGCTGTGCTCCTAGCCTGCTGTGTGACCCTAGTCAGATCACCTAACCTGTCTGTCCTGTTTCCCCATCTGTAAAATGGGCCGAGACAATCTTCCAGCTGTGATTCTACCCTCTGGTTCTAATCTCACCTCCCTTGATGTTTCTCTGCCAGAACTGCGGAGGCTGTTATTGTCCCCACTTGCTGGTGCTGTGCCCAGCCCTGGCCAGTGGGTAGCTCCAGGCCTCTCCCATCCCTCCCCTGTGCAGGCGCATGTTCCCTGCTTGCCGAGTATCGGTCACCGGCCTGGACCCTGAGGCCCGCTACCTGTTTCTTCTGGATGTGGTGCCAGTGGACGGGGCTCGCTACCGCTGGCAGGGCCGGCGCTGGGAGCCCAGTGGCAAGGCGGAACCCCGCCTGCCTGACCGCGTCTATATTCACCCTGACTCGCCTGCCACTGGTGCCCACTGGATGCGACAGCCTGTGTCCTTCCATCGCGTCAAACTTACCAACAGCACGCTGGACCCCCACGGCCACGTGAGGCCCAGGCGGGGGCCCTGGGATAGTGCTTGGGTGTGGTGATGGCTGGGAAGGCAGGGCCGGGGCCCACGGCAGGGAGTCACTCCGGTTTCTCCCCTCCCAGCTGATCTTGCACTCCATGCACAAGTACCAACCCCGCATACACCTGGTGCGGGCCGCCCAGCTTTGCAGCCAACACTGGGGGGGCGTGGCCTCTTTCCGCTTCCCCGAGACCACATTCATCTCCGTGACAGCCTACCAGAACCCGCGGGTGAGTGACCCTGCTGGAGGGTGTGGTGGCCCTGCCCAGGTCTCAGCAGCTTTGACCTTGTATGTGTGTCCCCAGATCACACAGCTGAAGATTGCAGCCAACCCCTTTGCCAAAGGCTTCCGGGAGAATGGCAGAAACTGTAAGAGGTGGGCATTGTTTGATCATTCACTCATCCATTCAACAAATGTCCATTAATCACTCACTGCATGCCAGGCACTGTGCTAAATGCCAGGAACACAACGGTAAGTAAAAACATTTATTCACTCATTGATTTAACAAATATTTATTCAGTCTCAGCTATGTGCCAGGCCTAGTTCCAGGCCTCGGAGACACATCAGTAAACAAAGCAAATGGAAGCCCCTGCTCACATAGAACTGGTATTCTAGTGGGCAGAGTAGACAAGAAAGCAAGAGAAGTAAATAGTGTACATTAGGGATAAGTTCTAAGGAGAAGAGAAACAAATCAGGGAAGAGGGAGAGGAAGGACCAGGGTGAGGTATTAGATAAGCGGCCTGGAAAGGCCTCACTGAGAAGAGGACGTTTGAGAAAACACCTGAAGGCAGTGGGGCAGGGAGCCATGTGGCTATCTGGGGAAAGCATGCCAGGGAGTGGGAACAGCAAGTGCAAAGGCCCTGAGGTGGGACTGTGCCTGCATGCAGCTGGAGTGGAGTGAGCAAGCTGACGGAAAGCCAGATTGTTGGGACAGTAAAGGTTTATTAAGTGAGGACTTGGGCATCTATTCTGAGTACAGCCCCTCAGAGCTGGGCCCTGCTGTCAAGGAGCTTAGTCTGTCAGAAGAGACAGACATTAACCAAAGGCTCATTCTGTCAAATGTAAAAGCATAACTGATAAATGTGGTAAGGTGCGTGTGGCACTGTGGGAGGTTAGAAGACTTCCTTGAGGAAGTTATGCTTAAACTGAGACAAGAAGGATGAATTAAGCCGATGAAGAGGGGACAGAAGAGGATTCCAGAGAGGCTGAAAGGCAGCTAGCAGAGATGGGGCAGAGGCGGTGAGCTGGAATCAGAGCTGCCCAGGCCTTGTAGCTTGGCAAGGAGTGTCCATGGATTCTAAATGCAATAGGAAAGCAATAGTGGAAAGCTTACACAGGGAATAAATCCAGCTCTGCTGCTTTGTAGTTAATCTCTGGGCTCCAGTTATTTCATCTGTAAAATGGGTATAATAATGGCACCTTCCTGATAGGGTCCCTGGGAGGGTGAAGTGCCTGCTGACTGGTAAGTATTATTACCATCATCATCACCGTCGTCATCACCATCACCATCATCATTACTATTCCCCAGGGAGCGGGACGCCCGTGTGAAGAGGAAACTGCGGGGCCCAGAGCCAGTAGCCACAGAGGCCTACAGGAGTGGAGGTGAGTGTGGTCATGCCAGTGATGGAGCCAGACCTGAACACTGTCCTCACTAGCCCACCGTCCCTTCTGTCTCCCCAGATGCACCTGGTGGTCCCTGCGACTCCACCCTGGGTGGAGACCTTCGTGAGTCAGATCCAGAGCAGGTCCCAGCCCCTGGGGAAGCTGCCCCTGCCCCAGCTCCTCCATGCGGTGGCCCCAGTGCCGAGGCCTACCTCCTGCATCCCGCAGCTTTCCATGGGGCCCCTGGTCACCTTCCAGCCAGGTGACTAGGACAAGGGCCCAGGGCTGGGCTGCTGTTACTTATTGGGGGGTCCCTGTCCCCTGTCCTGACACACTGTCTCTGCTTTAGGAACCCCAGCTTTCCTGAGGCTCCAGACTCTGGGCGCTCAGCCACCTACTCAACTGCATTCCTAGAGCTGCAGCCTGGGCCAGGGGGCTCAGGGTATCCAGTAGCTCCACCAGCAGCATCCTTTGCCCCACACTTCCTCCAAGGGGGCCCCTTCCCGGTACCATACCCTGGGGCTAGTGGTTACCTGGATGTGGGCTCCAAGCCAATGTACTGAGCCATGGCTGGGCCCCTTTGCCTCCCTCCATCTTCCAGGACAAACCTCCACTTCCCTTCCCCCAGCCCTGTAGCCCCCTCACTGCCACCGACCCCATCCCCCACACCAAATGGCTGCCTTAGGCCTGCCCCCTGGCTCCCCCCTTCACACCTTGATTTCACTCCCACCAGCTCTGGCTTCAAAGCTCAGGCTGGGCTGCTGGGAGTCCAGCTGGGGCCAGCTTCCCCTTCCCGGCTCTCACCTCGGTGTGAATGGAGGGAGGCTCTGCCTGGCCAAATGGGGCCACAGACCGGCACCCCCACCTCGACGGCCTCTTCCTTGGGCCGGGTGAGTTCTGCCCCCTCACCACTGGTGCAGGCCACACCAGTTTGTTCTCAGGACCAAAGTATTTTTGTTAATAAAACTCAAAAGACATCAGTGCTCAGAAAACTTGGGGCTGATGGTATTTGGCCCTGGGCGGGGCCGGATGAGCAAGTGATGCCTGGGAAACTTAGGCCTGGATCTCGACCTGCTGGTTTCCGGCTGCTTGACCTGGTGCACATAAAGTGACCGGCTCTGTGCCTGCTTCCTCTTCAGAAGAATGGGGATCTAAACCTCATAGCACTAGTTGTGCTGAACTCCGTCCTCCACCGGCCTAAGGAAGCCTTCAGGGACCTGTCACTGGATGAGGACCTGGAGGCTCTGGGCAAGTTGACTGGCCCCAATAGGATTAGGGCTGAAGCAGTCGAGGTCCTGATGTCCCCACAAGGTCCCAGGCCAGCATCCCTGCTCAGCCCCAACCAAGTCTGACACAAACCCAAAGACTATTTTCCTTCTTTTATTAGAATTTTTTTTTCTTTTTTTTTTCTCAAAATTTTTATCTAAAAACAAACAAACAAAAAAAGAAAAACAAAAAATTACTGGAAACTTCATGGTTCAATTGGGGAGAAAGAGGAGGAGCATGGAGCTAAGGGCTCCAAGTCTCTTCAGAGAAAGTCCTCACCCTCAATGTGCCCTCTAGGTAGGGGGAGAGCAGAGCCAGGGACAGCCCCTCCACGCCCAGCCTCCATCTGGGGAAGAGGGCAGAGTCACAGTGGTCCGAGGGCCAGAGGGGGTGGCGGGGACCAGGACTGAGGGTCACAGGAAGTAGTCAGCCACAGGCTTCTTGGAGGGGATGCCCCGGGTCTCTTGTGGAGCAGCCTCAAAGATGATGAAGTCTTTTTGGAGATGCTCGTCCAGCTCCAGGATGGCTGCCACATTCCCACAGCTGGAAGTGGGGGCAGCAGTGTCAGCAATGGGTCAGCCTAGGTACCCGACCCCACCCTGGCCACCTGGCCCAGCCAGCTCACCGGTAGCAGTAGTTGGGTGCCGACCACACAGTGAGCACGGTCTCATTGAAATGCCACTTGTAACCTTCCATCACCAGCTGGTGGGCACGGCAGATCATGTCAATGTCATTGGCTGCATTGAACTGGGCCACCACATCACTGCCAAATAGGTAGCCGGCCCCACGGGGGCTCACGCCCCAGCCTGTTGTGTCTGAGGAGAAGGTAAGGATGGGGCAAGGACATCCTCAAGGCTCCCCTGATGCCCACTGCCCCTGGAGAGTAAATATCCTGTCCCCCTCCCCCAATTAACCAGAGGCCTGTGGGGCAAGATCATGGGGCCTGGATATGTTCCAGGGGGTTCTAGGGGACAGGATAGCAATGTTGGAGCAGAGAAGCTCCACAGGAGAGAGAATGCCCAATGGCTGGGACTGCCTCACAATCAGTGACCTGCAACTTACTGTCTAAACAGGTGCTCAGGAGAGTGAAAGGAGGCGCTCACGATAATCACGCCATGGTGACAGCTGTGAGCAAGGGCTGTCCGACTGACCTGGGATGAAAGGTCACCCTGTGCCACAACAGGGCAGTCTGGGAGTGGCAGCAATGGCATGGAGGTCAAGTGTATGTGTGTGACAGCAGGCGCCCTGGACGGGTACTCAGGAGCCGTGGCTTTAAATCTCAGCTCTGCTTCATACTTGCGGGAACCCCACGAAACAAGGGGTCCTCAAGGGGCTATCATTCTGGGGGTCTGACCTCTGAAGAAGCTGCTGTCAGGTTCTAAAGCCCCCTCACATCCGGGGAGCCAATGATTCTGTCCTAAGCAGCCCTGAGCCATTACATGCACACTCTAACCCACCATCTGAGCTCAGAGTGCCCTCCGGCCATGCCCCCTGCTCCTACTCGAGGCTTCCAGCCAGCTGGCCGGTAGAGGGTGGAAGCTGGTGAGGATGGCCCTGCGCCAGCTCTTCCCCGAACACCCCGCCTGCCAGTTCCTTCAGGGCACTTGCTTTCATCAGTCTAAGGGGAGGGCCACCACCCCCGCATGCCGCCTCACCTTCAGGGTCGGACCACAGTAGGTCACACATGGGCCCATCGTGAGGCACCTCTTGTTTTCGGTCAATGGTCCGGATCTGGTCCAGGGTCTGGATGGAGGGGGAGAGGCCCCCGTGCACACAGAAGATCTACAGGGGCGAGCATGAGAGTAGGGGACGGAGGATGAGGCCCAGAGCCTCCCTTGCACCCCCCTCACCCACATGAAGCCCCAAGGACCAACCTACCTTGCCGTCGATGATGGCCGACAGGCTGAGGTAGTCGAAGATCTCAGTGCAGTAGCGCCACACAGTTACCGAGCCATACTTGCGCAGGCACTCATCATAGAAGCCATAGACTTGGGTGATCTGGCGGCTCTCGTGGTTGCCCCGGATCAGGGTGATCCGGTCAGGATAGCGAACCTGGGGGGAGCCGCCCAGACAGGCGGGAGTCTAACACTACCTCTCCACCTATCCCCCGCAATCTCCTCACCTCTGCCAGCCCCATGCCATCCTCGTAACCACTGTCCCGCCCAGACGCAGCTCACCTGTTGCCTGAATTAGGTGGCCTCATCCACTTCCCAACCCCAGCCCCTCTTCTGAGGACTGCGACCTAACCCCTGCCCATCACCTACAAACCCAACAGCTCCTCTCTCACCTCCTAGAGACAGGCCCAAGTCCTTAGCAAGATGTCATTTGGCCCGCGATCTCCCACCAATGGATACTGTATTCCGTTGTACTCAATGACTTGTCACTTTCTGAATGTAGTGACCCTCGATTCCCTCCCCTAGGACACGGCCTCTGCTAGCCTCATCCTCCCTAAGTCAAGGAAACCATCTCTAGCCACCAGCGCTAAACAGAACCAGCTGGTCCTGCAGCACAGCTCCCAGCAGGGGCGGTGGAGAATAGGGTGGAAAGAATGCAGACAGGCCAAGCCCAACGTGGCCCAGGCCTGGGCTCCAGAAGCCAAGGTTCCCACCTTAAGTGCCAGTAGCAGCAGGAACGTTTCGACACTGTAGAAACCACGGTCCACAAAATCCCCCATGAAGAGGTAGTTGGTCTCAGGGACGTCGCCACCCACCTGGCAGGAGGGAAAAAGTGCTTGGTCCTAAACCCACCCCTGTCCAGTTGGGGCCCTTCTTTCATAAAGGACCCCTCTGACTAGAGGCCTCTTGCCCCCACTCCACTCGCCAAATTAAAGGCTTCCACCCTCAATTAAAGGGGTCCTCCAGTCATCCTCCAGTTCACATTTCCAGTGTTGGCCCCACACTCACTCTGAACAGCTCCTTGAGGTCATAGAACTGTCCATGGATATCGCCGCACACCTGGGAAGTAGGAAGGCGGGTTGGAACTCACTCCCATGGTGGAAAGCCTTGGTTCTCAGGGCTACACTGCTCCAGCAGAGCCTCATCACTCCTGGCTGCATCTCTACTTCTCAGGGCCAACGTTCTTTTTTTTTTTTTTTTTTGGTGGCTGGCCAGCACGGGGATGCGAACCCTTGACCTTGGTGTTATAACACCATGCTCTAACCAACAGAGTAACCTGCCAGCCCTTCTCAGAGCCAACATTATACTCTCCCACCCCAAGTAAGCTTGGTCTGGAATCACTCACCATGCTCCATTGAGTGCCAACTACTGCGTGTGCAAGAGCTAGCACTAGGTCTTTCCAGCTAGACCTGTGGCTCCTGGAGCACCTGGCCCCTTCTCTCCCTACTCTCTTCAAGGCACCCAGGATAAAGTTACTAATACAGAGCCATAGAAATGTGGGTAGAATCACTCACCAAATTAAGAATGCTTCCACCCTGGGCAAGAGTATCCCCCCAACAAATCAAAAGATCCTTCCCACATTTCCTGTAGTAGGACTCCCTTGAAGATCGGGGAGGGGACAGACACATGGGGCTTTCTAGGTCCCTGGGAATGAGAGATGGATTTACTAAGGGAAAAGGCCATGTGCCTAAAAGACCAAGCTAGGCTCTGCAGGGACAGAAGGTACTCACTGTGACTGGCGAGTCCACCCTCTGCACGTTGCTCTCCTCTACCAAGATCTCTCTGGAGACAGGAGAAAACCAGGGTCACCACAGGCAGGCCAGCCCAGCCCAATTCCTGAACTTTTTGGGGTGAGGGGAGGACACAAGGTGGTCTATGAACCTCCAGGGGGCAGGAGTAAAGTGTGCAGTCTCCCCAGGATGGGCTGACTGTGGCCCTCTACCACTCAACACCCTTCTGTGAACAACAGGACCAAATCCAAGCTCCTATCTCAGCATTCAAACCCTCCTAAGTCGGTTGTGACTTTCTCAGCCTCAACATCCGCCACTCCTGCTCCCTCTCACACAACGAGCACTCACTCTTGGAAGACAGGTCTCCTTATCCTCTCCATCACAGAGACCTCTGTTCTCTTAGAGCACTCCCTGAGACTGTGCCCTTGGCCGAGCCCTTACATCTCTCTCTACCACTCCTAGCACCCTTCTCCTGAACTGTCCAAAGGCAAGGTGTGTGCTCTGGGCAAGCCAACCATCAGAGGCACCTTCAAAGTGGTGTGCTGGTACTGCACTGTCAATACTTATTTAGGGGCTGTGAGAACTTTATTTTTTTATTTATCCTTGTGGTGCAGCCACTTCTTCTTGAGTGAGCGTGAGATAAAATCAATCACTTCTTGGCCTTTTGGCTAAGATCAATTGTGATTAAATCACATTGTCAGTTACACCCAATTTAAGTAGCAATGTATTTCCAAATTCTGCCCCTGACTGATAGTAGCAGCAGTGAACACTATAGTTCATATCACATGCCGGGACTGTATTAAAAGCTCTGCGTGATGCTGGCCACCAAGCGACCGTCCTCAAAGGCAGGTACTGATAACTCCAGTGCACAGACGAAGAAACGGAAGCACAGGAGATTGCTGGCCTGGCCACTGTCACACGGGTGGGGTTGGAACCAAGGCAGCCAGGCTCCAGACTCTTTTTATCAAGCTGTTCTCATGTGGGAGGGCCACAAGCACCTTTCCGGCCTTCACTCTTCTGCCAGTCTCTTCCCACTAGACTGAGATCCCTGAACTCAGGGCATGAGGATGCACTTATGTCCCTTAGGGTGCTCTGTG